ATTTTGAATGAATTTTTCTTATTGCGACATAGGTATCGCGGCGATCGGATTTTTCAGATAGTGTTTACGTTCTAACCCGTCACACTTTGTATATCTCTTGTAACGATCACTTAATTGCTTTATTTAACTTCTTGAAAAAATCACGATCTCTATTTTGTTAGGGAGAAATGTGGTTGTATGATATAATCTCTTGTATCTTCATCATTTCGAGTCACATATTATTCATTAGCGCATAGTTAATGTATCGCATCGTAGTATGCCAAAAAATGAAAAAAGAAGAAACGTATTCGTGAAGTACGTAAACCTTACGTTAGCCAATAATACAATTATATTACACGAGGATTTATAATAATGAGTAGAAACCTTAGGACGTAATTATTTTTACTGAAATTCCAAATAAAATAAACGTCGACGTATATTTTTGATTATTTGTTGAGTGGCGGGTGTTTTGTTAGAAATTATATTATTTAAAATTAATATATTGATGATACGATTATTATTTAATATCTAATATATTGGACATAGACGCTAAGTTATTTCCGATAGAACGAAATATTATATGTAGAATAGTTAGGGGAAAAGGGAGTGCGACCGTGATTGTTCCTGTCTGTGTATGCGTGTGTATGCGATGCGAGGAAAACCATAACATAGACAAGTCATTAAAAAAGAACAAGAGAAAAAAAGATAATCGACGAACATAAGGGAAATGACAATTGAAAAGTTGCAAAATGACGAGGGAAATATGTTTAAGGTAGAAACGAAAGAAAAAAAGGGAAAGAAGAGGAAGAAGAAAAAAAAGCATGAATACCGAAATGTCTTCTCATTTTTCAAAATGTTTTCTTGACGATTTAATATATTTTATATTTATTAATTTATAACGACCGATTATATGCGAACGATGCGTCTCCTGTAAGAAGTCTTGTTAGTATTACCTACGTGCATACGTAGATGGAAAATCGTGTGTGAGCATCGCCGTGCGCCGTGTATTAAAATTAAAACGAACAAAAACAAAAAAGACAAATGATGCACGTCCTGTGTTTCTCCGCGTTTAGTGCGTGATCGACGTGATCATACCTAAACAGAGCGATCAAATACGGCTGGTTTATGATGGTATATTTACGGCGCATGTAGATCTGTCACACTATTATCGCGACCTATTACAAATAGTTTTGTATTCATTTTTATCGCATAAGTGGGATCGCATCTTGTGTGCGACTACGATGCGCCGATGCATTTTATCGTGGTGAACAACGAAAGATTTGTTCACTAGGCGAACGAACCGTCGCGGCGTATAGATATCGTGTAATTCGCATTTGTGTGTAATTTCTAAGCGCGGTCTCACCGCGACCAACGCGTTCTCGACGACGGGGTAGGGAGAGCGAAACGGCGGCTTCTCTTCGTAGCGCAGATGATGAAGCGAAAGTCCGAAATAACACTCCAACGATGGTTAATATGGGAACATTGCACAAAAAGAACTTTGCATATCCTCTGTTTATTCTACGTGACCGGCGAACTTTCATCGAGCGTATTTGGAAAATTCACGGTTTGTGGCTGTAGACGCGCTGAGTGTGAAAAGATGTACGTTACAGTTTTCAGGCATGGATATGCGTATTATGTATGATCAATTCGGACTTTGAAAGATGTTCGAACAATATGTTCCTGCAAATTTTATCGTGCGAAATGGAAGGAACTTAAAAAGAACTTTAAAGTGAACTCCATTTCGCAAAGGAATAATGTTTGTAATATATCTAAAACATATTATCAGAATGATCGAGATATTAATCATGTAACTTTATTTCGCGTGACTGTAGTCCTCCGTTAATAATCAAATCAGAAGGAGGAATTTTTTCTGATCATGGTTTCATTTTTAAAGAAACTAAATGACGCTTTCATCTTTAACTTTTGAATTGATGAAAGTGTACATTTTTATTTTATGAGGAATACTAATCTTCGGATAACGGCGCCTGTGTCTATCCGAGTTGATTTTAAGCTGTTATGCAAATTCTTATGCTTATTATTTTTTTTTTCATCTTTTTTAGCGAACGAAATATATCTTGAGCTTTTTATTTAAAGTTTGCTAATGCGATCGAGAAGAAATGATCAGAGAAAAACTGTAAATGAACAGTCTGTCATCCTTTATTTTGTAAAAACTGTAATTCATCAAATATTTTTGAACGGTAATATGCGTTCGAAAGTATTTCTAGTAAAATTAATTAAAGGATCTGAATGGATCTACTCATTGGCATTTATAAAATCGCCAAAATACCATCAAAAAGCATGCTATAAATATTTCATTTTCATAAATTAATGAAATTCATGTACATTATCTCTGACGAGTAGAATATCTACAAATGACAAAAAAGTATGTAACACTTACAAGACCAGTTATTTGATTTGCAGCTGTGGTACGTAACCGACAGGCGAGACCAAAACCTAATTGAAATTAACTTACATCCTTGTAAGAGATAATTTAAGATTCACTCACTTGACGAAAATACCAACGTAGTAAGTGTATAATACTACAGATTGTAAAAATATAATACTGGTTACTTAGTGGTAGCCGAGAAATATTGTTAAAACGCAATGTCGGTTATTTAAGTGTTAAGATAAATCTTCAGCGATTTAGATATGCAGATTCATGCCTGAGATCCATGAAAAATACTCTTTTACACTGTGAACGTTTCACGAGTGCAAAACTCTTGAAGTTTTCGAACACGCTTCAATAAAAAAAGGAAAAGAAAAAAAATAGAACCTCCATTTTGTGAACGATTTATCCGGCGGACTTTCATCGCGCGGGGTTAGTCGATTTCTGGCGAAGACCCTTCGCGCAGGTTTTTCGTGCGACCGAGAACAGAGATGCTCGACCGTTTGGTGATGATGACATTGCCTTCATTATCTTAAGCTTTTTGTGAACCTGTATGAGGGCTGATAATAGAAACACTAAGAATTCTTGTCTGGAATCAAAGCTTTCAATATATAGAAGCCAATCACCAATAGTCTCCTCCAGAGTTAGTCCTCTAC